AGGGAATGTATTCTCAAAACGTTTCAAAGTCCCAGGTTTCAGCTATTGAAATTTTTACAAAATCGAGAAAATGCGCAGAAAAATTTTCTTTTAAATGTCAGTCGATGCAAAAATGAACGCTGAACAAGACTAGATACTTGCTGGCGTTTGAGTATCACGTAGTCAAGGTTTTCTAGGAGATTTCTCGAAAACCTTACCACCAAAATACGCTAACTTTCGGATCTTGAGCTATATCCTAGCTTTTTCGCTATTTTAGCGTTCATAGCACTTTGTAACGCCATCAATAGATAACTATAGACATATGTCTAGACAGACACCAGGGCTAGAGAGAGAAGGAGACAGACAGACACCAGGGCTAGAGAGAGAAGGAGACAGACAGACACCAGGGCTAGAGAGAGAAGGAGACAGACAGACAGAGAAAAAGGAAAAAAGAGAGAAGAACAGATGGCACCTGCACTCGCTCGCTAGTTCTCTTTTTGTGCACTAACGGACTACTGTAGTTTCATTTCATTCTTATAAAAAAAGTATAAGTTGTATGGAAAAAATGACTGATTTACGTTGTCTCCCAAAATTCTTCTTCGGCGATGTTGAAAATTACATAAAAGTTAAACTTGATGAAATATGTGGGGGCTCGGCTGATGCTCACATGCAGAACTGTATGGTACGTGAAAAATCGTTCAGTTTGCATTCAGAAAAAGGACATATACTTCGAATTACGATCAAGCCCTCAAGAAACACAGCGGTTTTAACTTCAAACGTTAAGCACTCGATGGCTAAACATTCAGTTGTGCTACACTGTGAAAACAAAACTAAATAATGTGAGAGTTAATATATTTTTTTTATAAGAATAAAATGAAACTACAGTAGTCCCTTAGTGCACAGAAAGAGAACTAGCGAGTGAGTGCAGGTGCCGTCTGTTCTTCTCTCTTTTTTCCTTTTTCTCTGTCTCTGTTCTCTGCCCGAACTGAATATGAGGCACATCACTAGATGCAAAATATAACGCTGACTTCAAATACCACTTTCGTTTTTCTCGAAAATCTATCTGGTATTTACCAACTCCTTTTTCATAAGAGTAGGTATTTTCGACCTCTTTCGAGATTTCCTCGTCAGCCGACTCAGTAAAATGTTTCAAAAATCTGACACACACTCCATCGTATACAGAATTGATTTTGCTACTTAAAACATATTAAAATTAAAAATTAAAACAAGATTGTATCACAGGATACGCGAAACTCCATTATAAGAAAGTCACTTCATGACTTCGAGAAGAACTATGACTTTCAAAAAGATATTTATGTTCCAGCTAGATATGGGCAGGACCCAGAGCTGGGCAAGTACGGGATTTTTCAAGTACGAGTCGAGTACGAGTACCAATGCTTCGAGTACGAGTCGAGTACGAGTACCAATGCTTCGAGTACGAGTCGAGTGCCGAGCCTGTGTAGAAACATACCGAGCGAAATGTTAAAACATTTTTTTCGAGTACAGATGAGTTTGTAGCCATGATGGACGAAACCAATAAAAAAACCGATAACGGAAAATCAATATGTTCGAAATAAGACGAGAATACCAACAACAACAGAAGAAAATTGTTCAGAATGATAGAGGTTGTTTATTTATTACAAAATGAAGAAAAACGATGTTAAACAGGTTCCTCCCTGTAGCGAGCTCGTCAATCAATCTGAATTGATTTCCGAATTAGTATTTTTTTTCATTCAAAAAACGAAGATTACGTCATGTATCTTCTTTTTTTAAGAAATAGGTCAATTCGAAACAAAAAAAATGACGTCATGTCAATTTTTAACAAAGAGATGGCATCAAATAACTGCGCAATCAAAAGAAATAGAAGAAATATATGAGAATTTCAGTGATTCTCATGGGCGAAATAACGAGAAAAAAAAGATTGACCCAGATATATACAAGACGAGTAAAATGGACGAACATAAGAAAGAAGAAACAGAAAGGAAAGAGAAAGAGAAAGAAAGCTATACACATAACACGCACACAACGCATGTACGTGTACCCTAGACCTATTATTTTTATAAATACTTATCGGACCCTTATACGACTGTTATTAAGTCCGTATATAAGTGTTCGACCACGGTTGTGGTAATTATTCTGGACACCTACTGACCACCTCGAGTACAAGTACGAGTACGAGTATCGGATCCTCGAGTACGAGTACGAGTACCAACTCTTCGAGTACAAGTACGAGTACGAGTACGAGTACTTCGAGTATTTTGCCCAGCTCTGGCAGGACCAAGGCTTTTTAGTTTCGGTCCCGAAAAACATTTTGCTTGTAAAACAAAAAAAAATATTTCGTTAATGCTAGAAAGTTTAGGAGAAGTTCACGTGATTCAACAACAAAAATACATTCAGAATGATTAAGTAATCATTCACCGACTCCTCCCCTCCTCTATATAAACAAAACTAATCATTTGCAGACTTCCCCTGCCCTTCTCATTGTTTATATAATTTTCCAGCAGCCCCTACCTCAACGTATAAACGGAAAGAAAAAAGTGTGTGATGTAATGCTTAGTTTTATAAATAATATGATGATATAAAACAAGTAGAAGGTATTCAGAATAAAATTAAACAGTAAAAAGATTTAATTAGTAATGCGAATAATGATGAATGTTCAATATTTTTAGAACATGAATATCAGAGACAAATAACTCAATTAAAAGGTTATTTGAATAATGATAAAGAAATTGTATATGATAAAAAGTTAAATGTGTACGCACGTATGTATCTGTACTGCTGACCGGTTAATAAACTACTCGAACTGCATATTTGTGTGAATATTATTTAATGGCGACTAGTAAAAAAACTATGGAACAATCACCACCATCGACGAATCCCACTCCTAAACGGTTATGTGCTGGTATTGATTTAAAACAAGCGTTTGTCCAGATGTTGTTAAATGATGAATCATTGCAGTCAGCTGTTGCTGATGTCGTTCAGAAAAACGATAACCCAATTACAGTAGCTGCTGAGAAAATCGTTGATGTTATGTTTGACTCCCTTTTAAAACATTTATGCGATCAGGTTGAATTGTTAGAAAGCCGTACTATTAAACTCGAACAAAAAACACTTGATTTGGAGCGGTACAATCGATCATTTAACTTGCGATTTTATGGGTTTGAAGAGAGAGGAACAAATGATAACATCGAGAAACGTGTGTCCGAATTTTTAACAAAAAATCTTGAAATTAAAATTCATCATCCAGTTATTGAAAATTGTCATCGGGTTGATGTTAAACGTGCTGGTAAACTCCGTCTTATCATCGTTCGTTTCCATTTGCGCCCTTTTCGTCAGTTGATTTTGACATCGTTAACTAAATTGAAAGGACAAGAATTAGGGATAATCGTGATTGAAGATTTAACAAAACAAATGTTAAACTTGTATTACAAAACGCGTGATGGTCTTGATGATACTGAAAAACAAAAAGTAGTCACACGACAAGGTCGAGTTTATATTAGAAATGCAGATAAATCTTTAACATTAGTTAAAGATCATTAACCGTTCCTAACATGCGAGTGAACCTTTTTTCTCTCTTTATTTTTGCATGCTTGCCATATTTATCTTCTTCTCTTTCATCCGATTCTAGTTTCCTTACCAATGTAAGCGTTTTCTTGCCGCCAATGGAATTGAAGTGAATCAATGAAATCACCCGATCGTCCACTAATATATTTTAATACGTGACCGTCAAATTTCTCAGTAGACGTAGTACCCGTAATGTTCGTTCCACACATCTGTCCACTCATCCTTCCACTGTTCGTAGTAAACTGAATGCCAAGAATAACTTTCATTCCATAATGTGAACCAGTTTTCACTTGAACGATAGAGACCCCTTCGTTTTTGTTCAGTGTAAAAGTGTTTGTGTCACACAACGAAATGTACCGCGATGTGTCGATGTCAAAGTTGGCGGATCCGAGTAGTACATTCGGATCGACTGTAGTAAACCTTCCTGATATTGAACGTTAATTTCGTATAGCCGATGACTACTAATCAAAGCGACAGATTTGGTGACTGTATTAAATTGTACCCCTCCGACTGGATTTCCAAACACTTGTCCTTGTTGGATATCATTCTGAGCTGTGAAAAAAAACTTTTTCTGTAACTATACAGATAGGACTACAAAGACATACAGTCTGCCTCAGCCTTTTTTCCATAAAGAGCTTGTATCGATTGTTGATCAATGGATGTTAGGACGTCAGATCGTTGTTTCAGCTGATAGGTCGGGAACATGATCGACTGTCTATTTTTTACATGTTCAAGATCTAACGCGTGACCTATTTCATGCATAGTGACAAGAAACAGATTGATTACCGTTTTTGATGTCGAATTATACCTATACAGAAAGGAAGAAATAGTAAGTAAAACGACCATTCTGATGGAAATGGGCGTGCGATTCAAGGCGATAGGTGAGAGAGAGACGAGACCATGTTTTATTGCTGATTCCCTGCAATATGTTTTCATTTGGCTTATCCACCACTGAACATCGTGGCAGATTCATAATGGCCTGTGTTTCCTTATCAACAACACCGGTCATATTCAATCCAAAATAACGTTGAAATTCTATGAGCATCGACGCAAAGTTTTCACTACACTGAACAGGCAATGAAGCATTGCATGAACTGTAACCAAATCGTTTCAGATAATCCAACGCATCATCTTCACTATCTACTGGTTTAGTCGCAGAGGGAAAGATAAGGCCTGTGAATATCGGTACAAAGGTTTGGAAATCCACTGGGGGGGGGGGGGGGGGGGAAATATAAAAAACCACCCCAAAATAAAAAAAAAACAAAGCCTTTTG